CCCCCCCCCCCCGATTCAAGCACAGGCTGTCTTTCCTGCTCCCTTCCTAGCAAGGTCCTCTCTGCTTCCTGAATCAGAGGCCTCAGAATCCAGCCCACAGGGAATGGTGCTGAGAGCAGAGCCAGGCTGTGGATGGGGGCCCTCCAATGCAAATCTGCAGTGCTTGGGGTCAGGCCTGCTCCCACAAACCCACTCTCTCTTCTCCAGGGCTTTCTTAGCTGGCCCCTGGAGCCAGCTGGACCCAGCAGAGGATAACCAGCTGTTGTATTAGAGGATTTTTTTTTTATGCCCCTTTCTACACTAGTGGATTTCCCTAGCACCCCTGCTTCTCCCCACAGTCCTAGTGGCTTCCACAATTCTGTCTCAGAGTGCCAAGTAGGCATTTGCTAGACCCCACATAGCCTTGGTCAGGTCTGGGCTGTTCCAGCTGGAGAAGCCCTGCCCTCTGTGCCTAACAGTGCTTGAAGGCCCTACACATGGTGACTGACTGATGGCATCTCCCTCTTGCAGGTCATGGCAAAGTGGTGGGACGAGGCAGTTCTTCTCCGTGTGGGGCTGAAGCTGGAGCAGTTCCGAGGCACGACCAGGAAGCCAGCCATTTATTACGATGCCTTTGCCTAACTGTAGGACCAGAATGGGAGAGGCTTTGCTTTCCCTGGTCTAGTGTTAATGGGAGTGGAGGAAAAAGGGTGGTCTGGGGTCCATGTGTGTGGTGGGTATCAATGCATGTGCCAATGGGTGTGTGTTACCTTGTTAGCAGGCATAGTTGGGTAGACGTGTGAGAGACAGGGCCCAGCAGGGCAGGGGCACACCTGCTGCAGGGGGTGAGCCAGCTATCCTTGAGATCGCTGGCTGTGACTGGAGATCAGATGGGTGCAGGAAGGAGCTCCCAGCTATAGCAAAGGCAGGGCCACAGGGTTGGTTTCCTGGAGGAGCAGTGGGACACCCAGCTGGCCTGTCATCACCTAGCCCTGCCCTTCCATGGGGTTAATGTTCTGGTTCCTGTGGTGCCCCAAAAGATCTGCCCCAAAAGAACAGCATGAGGAGCAGGGCAGCAGCCTGGCACCTTGTAGAGGGAAGCAGGAGCACAATACCCTCCCCAGCCCACTGCAGTGTGCCAGGCACATCCCCAGGAAAGTGCCCAGTGGGAAACACAGCAGGCAGATTTGCTGCAGGGCTGGGGACAAGGAGGTAGCAGAGTGAGCTGCCAGGTGGCCCAGAGCATAGCAGTGTATATTGGTTTGGGAGACATTAGGTGTGTATGTACTTCTGTGTGTGTGTGCACATACATGTGTGCACGTACACAAGGTGTGAGCTGTATGGAGGTGAGTAGGAAGCCACGTCTCCTGGAAACGGTCAGCCAGTAGCTGCTCCTGGCAGGAATACTGAGAGCAGTGCTCAGGGCAGCGAGGGTGAGGGAGGAGTGACTCTTGGGGGTCAGTGTGTGCTGGAGGGGAATGACACTGGCTCCCCCTGCCAAACAAAACTCTTATTAGGCTTCTGCCATCTCACAGCCCAGGGGTGAGGCAGTACCTGGCAGACTTGGCTGGTAGCCTGGCCTGGTCATCATGTCCATCTGAAATGGTCTTTTTTAACATTTTGAGTTCAAATGGCACTGGATGTGGGGCAGTTAAAGAGTAGCCCTGGAGCCCAAGGCAATACACCAAGAGCCAGAGCAGCTGTCCAGTTTATCATCTGAAAACGTTCAGCCAGGCTGCAGCAGGAAGTGTGCATGTGAGAGCTGGAGTGTGGGGCTGGGAGCCCTGGCTCCTGGGCTCTCTGTTTGGCCACTGATTTGCTTTTTGAGCATGCACCACCCACCTTCTCCCAGCACGCCTGAGTTTCCAAAAATGACTCTAAAAGAGTAGTGACCTGCTCCCAGGGAGCTTGGGGGTCAGTCAGCAGGAGCTTGTAGCAGACCCTGAGATCCTGTAAGGGCAGGGAAATGGAAAAGGAAGTGGCTGGCCATGCAGATTGCCATCTAGCAAAGTGAGCAACTTGTGAAATAAGGGTGAGACCTGACAGACTCCTCACAGGTACCTTTCTGAGGCAAGGGGCCAGATCCTCCCCTGGTATAAACAGGTGCCAAGAGAGATGTGCCAGCTTACACTACCAAGGACCCAGGCCCAGAAAGTCCAGGCCTCACCACCACTAGCTGGAGGAGAGAGCATGCACGGCCCTGCCTCCGCAGCACCCAGGGCTGGTGCACGGGGAGGGGGTGCGGGCACTGGAGGGCTTGTGTGTTCGCTGCTGCTGAAGCCAATAACCATATCCAATGCTGTTCTCTTTCCAGAGCAGGGTGAAGCTGCCCAGTCACACAGATGTAAGGATGCTGTGTTTACTTCTAACCTTGCTTGGTGCCCCCCTTCCTCTGTGCCTCTTGCCTTTGTTCTCGGAGTTGTCGTCCTGTGCATTTGGGGGTGGTTTGGGGGCAGGCCTGTCACTTGTCTCGCTGGTCTCTGTTGTACTGAAAGCCTTTCTTCCTGACTGTGTCTCTTCTTGCTTACCTGCTTGCATGCGGGGGGCAGCCGGGGGTGGGGGCTCAGGGCCAGCCAGTGAAGGACTAAGGGGAGGTCATGTCATAGCAAAGAGACTGGAGCTGCTGCTGCCAGGAGACATGGAGGTGCGTAGGGACTGGTCCTGCCCTGCTGGCAGTCCCAGCCCTGCAGGAGGGAGCAAGGGCTAGTGATTAGTGGGAGAGGCTGGGAGTCAGGGCACTTGGGGTCCCTCCTGGCTTTGGGAGGAGCTGTGCCTAGTGGCTGGTGCCAGAGTCTGGGAATAAGGAGTCACTCCTGGCTCAGCCTCACTGGGGAGCTCTTCCCCCCACACCCCAGCCAGCAAGGGGGACAGTCCCCCCACAAGCGGCAAGGGCAGCTGAGGTCCCCTGCCATTGTGTTGAAGGACGGTGCAGGGCTGGAGGAGCTGATTCAGCTGCTGGAGCTGACCCGGGTGACACAGGGCTCATTCCCACCCCCAGCCCTGACACTTATAAGTTAGGGCAGGGGTAGGCAACCTCCAGCACAGGTGCCAGAGCGTAGCACGTGAAGGCATGTCACTTGGCATGCACGCCTTGGGGTGGACGGCAGGGAGGGGGCTAGGGCTGTGCTGCCCCAACAAGGCTCAGGCCCCTTGCGGCTGTCCCGCTCGCCAACATCTGACAAGTCGAGGGTGCTGGTGTTTTTGGCGCTCTGCCCAAAAATGTCACTGACCCTTGGGTTAGGGCCTGATTAGCCTGAGGTGTGCCTGGCTGAGTCCTTTCCCTCTCTGTGGCAGCAGCTTGGTCAGGGCTGAGGGGCATAGGGCACAGCCTTTGTAAATGGGCATTGGAGAGAGACGCATCCAGCCCCAAGAGAAGAAACCCCCCGGGGGTGGCAGCTTTGCACACGCCCCTCCCTCTGTGCCCCCTTCCAGCCAGCAGCAGGACAGCCACCTGCCTTGCTCTGCTGCCACCGCCTCCCTGTGTGGGGGCCAAAAGCCCTGCGCCGCAACGGCCTCTCCCAGCCTCTGATGGGGGATAGCGGGGCTGGGCTCAAAGCCCTTCCTTCAGGAGTGGGAAGAGGGTGGCTGGGGAGCTCAGGCAACCTTGGGACAGAGCAGAGAGGAGCGGGGTGGGAAGGCAGGAAGCACGAGGGGTCAGCATCCAGCACATGCACAGGCGTCACCGCAGGGAAGTTCACCCGTGGCTGCAGGGTGGCTGCTGAGGGATCAGAGAGCAAGCTGGACTCTCCACCCGGGGTCCAGGGCTGCCGTCTCCATGTCACCCCAGCTCCTCTGTATCCTCCTGTCCCTCTCTGTGGCCTGTCGCACTCGAGCCCCCTCACACCCTGTTTAGCCTTCTCTTTTCTTTTACGCTCCCTGGCTTGTTTGGCTCTGATCGGCGGTGGGGGGGGAGCATAGCTGAGTTTTAGGCTCTGTCTCTGATCTCCTAGCCCCTGTCCTCAGCTGAGCCCCCTGTCAGGATGGGGGGGCCAGGGAAGGCGTGGCAGGGCCTCAGGTCTGGAAGGAGAAGCTGAAAGCACCTCCAGGACAGGCTGCTTGCTGGAGTTGTCTGGCCCAGAGGGAGAGTGAGCAGCCTGGCTCCAGTCTGATCCCAGATTTACACCCTGGAGGCCCCTGCCTGTAGGCTGCAAAGCCCATGCCTCACATCCTGGGCCAAGCTCCAGGGCAGGGGATTGGTGGGGAGCCCCTCATTTCCTGAATATTGACCTCTCCCTCCTGGAGAAGGGCCTTATGCCAGAGGGCAAGCTTCAGGCCTGGCCCAGAGGGACTCCAGGAAGGGCCGAATTTGATGGCTGGCTTGTCACTTGAGGCAAAGAGAGCTTGATACAGCATAAGGCGTGGGCAGAGCACTGGCTGCAGTTCAGACATGTCAGCTCCACAGTCCTCCAGGCAAGACATCATTGCAGGTGTCCAGCAAAACAGGGAGTAACCCCTACAGACCTTAGCCTCCTTCCTACAGGGTCCACTGTCCAAGCCCAGGGGTCCTGCAGGCACGAGGGAGGGGAGGAACATTTGTTTGGATCCCTCACTCTTGTCCTTTCTGCTCCCCAAATGTCCCTGTGGCAGTGCTCCTGGTTCCAGGCACTGTATGTCCCCAGCCTGCCCAAAAATACCAGCTCACTGCTGCTAAAGACACAAACAACTGTGCATGCGGGGGGCAGACACATGGGGGGACAGGTAGGCAAATGAGTACAAAGGTTTTCTTGCCACTACATTGCATTCTGGATGGACACGCACACACACATGCACGTATACTGATGCCAGCCCCCTCTGCTGTCCTGTGATCCACGTCCCCCCTTGGGGGAACTTCTAGCACCATGTCAGGGGCTGAGACCAGCCAGCGTAGCAGCCTGCTCACATGGCCTTTTGTTTTTTGTTGTCTCTCTTGTGCACTGCAGGGCACCCAGATGATCTTCAATGCAGCCAAGGAGCTGGGACAGCTGTCAAAACTGAAGGTAAAAGGGAAAGAGGCTTCAGCTCAGGCGAGGGACTGTTTGCATCGGGATAGCTCCATTGCATTCAAGGCAGGGGCTACCGAACCACCAGGCTCAGTCAGTCAGTGGCTGCATGTGGCACAGGCAACTGTCCATACCTGGAAATCTGCTTGGATTGCCAGCGGTTGTTAATGGGAGGTGTGAAGCTGGCTAGTGAGACATCACTAAAATGCCCTTGTGTAGCGTCATTCCTAATGCGCCGGTGCACGGGCTGTGCCCAGGTATGGTGCCTCGGAGCCAGGGAAGGGAGCCAGGCACCAAGTTCGCACTCTGTGCCCCAGGGCTTGGGGAAGTGGGTGGTGCAGAACTGGGTCTCACAGATGGGCTCATCCTTTCAGGACCACATGGTGCGTGAGGAGGCCAAAAGCCTGACCCCCAAGCAGTGTGCGGTGGTGGAGCTGGCACTGGACACCATCAAGGTAAGTCTCCATCCATTGCTCTGCCCATTGCTGCAGTGCCTGAGAGCCCTGGGACGGGCACAGAACAAAGGCAGTCTCTGCCTCAGGGAACTTAAGACTCTGAGTCAAAAGGCTGGGGATGGATACAGACTGCGTGACAGGAGCCACCGCATCCCTGTCTGCCTGCTGCCCTTCCCTGTCAGCATCCCAGGCTTGACAGGTTGGTGGGGCGAGGGGTGGCTGGCAATGGAGGTGCTAGGGACTGCAAGGGCTGCACTGAGGAGCCACCTACCCAAAGATGCAGCAGGGGAAGTGTGAGTTGATGTGACAGCACTGGGGCATAGGGTGGTGCCGAGACCTCCATGCTGGGGCCTTGTCCGGTACAGCCGGGCTGTGCAGGAGGCACGACACCTTCCTGGCACACTGGCTGCTGTGCTGCTTTGTCTTGTAGCCGTGCCCACCCTGCCCAGGGACCCCCACTTCCATCCTAACTCCTCTCTCCCCCACAGCAATATTTCCATGCAGGAGGAGTTGGGCTGAAGAAAACCTTCCTGGAGAAGAGCCCCGACCTGCAGTCTCTGCGCTACGCCCTCTCCCTGTACACACAGGCCACTGATCTGCTCATCAAAACCTTTGTGCAGACACAGTCATCTCAGGGTAAGCACTGTTAGCACCTGCCCCCCTCCACCTGCAGCTGCTGGCCTGTGCTGCCACAGCTGAGGCACCCTGCTCTTATCTGGGGCTTAGTGCACCAGGTGTGTCTGCCCCTGCTGCCCAGCACAGCAGTGCCACCCAGTGCACACGGCCTATCTGTGGGGAGGGCGTCCGTGGTGCTCTCTGGCCTGTCCCACTTCTCAGGGTACAGTGACATATGACTAGAGCCACAGCGAGGGACTAGCATCCAAAGGGATAAAAAGGCTGTGTGCCCCTCTTCCCACCCCACCCCCTGACACACTTTCCCATGGGTGGGGGGTTTCAGATGTCGTGGGGCAGGAATCCCGGTGGTCAGGGACTGGGGATTTGCCCCTGATACTGCCTGTGCCACCTGCTGGGCAAGAAGAAGCCTCAAGCAGCCTGGCCCCTTCTCCCACCCCATGCTGGGGGTAATGCCCCGACTCCCATGGCATCCTGCTTGACTCCAGGATGGGGGCCGTGCAGCCTGCACTCCACACACCCCAAGAAGGCTCTGGCTGGGGAGTAGCTACACTTGAGGCAGAAGTTGGCCCTCAGCCTATGCCAAGGTGACGGGTTGTGGCTGCTGTAGCTCTGGGGAGCCCAGACTGACACTGGGGACCTGACTGGCAGAGGCATGGAGCACTCTCAACCCCCAGCAGGTCAGGGGCAGTCAGCATCCTTGTCAGTCTGGCCCCAGGGATCTCCAGCTGAGTCCCCAGGGGCACTTAGGGGAGGGGTATGAGCCCAGCATGGGGACAGTGGGTGAGTCTCCAGCCCTGCTGTCACTATGAGCTGCACACAGGTCGCCTCAGGATGTTCAGGCCACTATTACCCTCGCCATCAGGCCCCCAGCACCATCTTCCTCATGTCACCATAAGGTGCAGCCCATGCCCTGGCCAAGGGGAGGGGTGGCTGTGTGTGCAGACAGCGTGCCACAGGCAGAAGGAACGAGCGTGCCGAGGAGGCAGGTGCAGGCAGGCAGGTCTGCATGGCCAGGGCTCCATCCAGGTGGGTGCCAGCCCCAGGCACTGCAGGACGTAGGAGGACCCAGCAGGGGTGGGAGTCTTTGACTTCTCTCTGTGTCTCTGAGTGGGGAACCTGTCCTGTCCGTGCCTTTTGTCTGGTGGCCGCAGGCCACATTGTGCATGGGTAGCCAGGCCTATGGACGGGCTGTGCTGGGAGATGTAACTCCACCCTTCTTCCCCACCTACACCCACGAGGGGTCGGGGGCTGCTCACTGCTGATGCCTTGTGTCACAGGGGAACCGGTGCTGCGGCACCAGGCCCATGTGCCAGCTGGACCCTGGGCTGGCAGGAACCACCTGCACCACCAGCAGAGCTAAAGCGCTGGAAAGAAACTGCCCCAACCATGCAGGAAACCCCCTCCCTGGTGCCATCCCTCTTCAGGCCCGCATCCCCAGCAGGGGTCCCGCTCCCAGCACACCCCGCGCCCGGGCCTTTTGACTCTGTGTTGCTGTGATGTCTTGTTTTGGATTCTCAGCTGGCTCTTCTGTCTGCGATATCTGATCTCTCTCTGTTTTTTTCTTCCCTATCTTTTAACGTTTTCCCCTGTTTCCCTCCCTGACACACATTCTCTTTCTCTTGCTCTTTCTCTGTCTCTTCCCCGTCTCTCTCCCTTTTGCCTCTTTACTAGTCCATGGTGGAAAAGGTATTAGGTTTACCCTTAGTGAAGAAATTTATCCAGAGAAGGGTACGTCTGCCATTCTCAACCCCTGATGCACCTGTCCCGAGCACCCCACCCCACCCACCGGTCAGGGCTAGTAACAGTCCCAGCACCCAGAGCAGGCTGCCCGCACCCCTGCAGGGAGGGGTCTTCAGAGCCTGTTCATTCGGGGCTGGTTGAGAAGTCGGAGGGCTTGCCTCCATCCGTGCCTGGGCCGCGTCCATGGCTCTGGTTCTCCGAGTCAGTCCCCTGCAGGCAAAATTTACAGGCAACGGTCCCGGCAGCGGGTGGGTTGGGACGGTGTCTGTCCATCGAGACTGGGCGTCTGTCTGAAAGAGGCCGTCTTCTTCCTCCTTTCGAGATGGCAGGTGTGGGCATTGCTGCATGGGTAGAAGCAGAGGATCAGATGGGTCCATTCTGGCCTTAAAAATCTCTTAGCCTCGGTACCCCAAGCACCTTGGTTTAGCCTGCTCTGCAGCGGGTGGGATGTGAAGGTGCTGCTGGGCTCCAGAGCCCAGCTGGGAGCAAGGTCCAGACGGCTGAGAGGGCCCGAACCTCTGCTCTGCTGAGCCAGGCACAGGCAGCCTGTCATCACCAAGTCTCCCAGAGCTTTGCTGTGAAGGCATGGCATGGGATGTGCTGGGATGCCCACCTGGCCTCGGCCTTGAAGAGCCCAGGGGATCCTAGGATAGCCAAGCTGTGGCCAGCAGCTCACCAGCCTCAGGGAGACTCTTACTAGCCTTGCTCCAGGTGCACACATCAAGCCCTGCCCCGCTCCCCCCCTTAAGCAAGTGGAATGACTGCATCAGGATGGGGCGGGGGGCTGCCACCCCCGCACATGGCTTGGCACTGGCACTCGCCTTCCAGCTGCCGGTGTCAGCTCCATGTTGGCCTGCGGAGCGGCACGGCGGTTTGTTTGTTCCATGCTTGCGTTGAGCACTGAGATGATCTCTCCTCCTGCCCTTGGTCTTTGGATTGAATGAGTCTCAGCATGTGACTCCGGGGTGGGGAGGGGCGGGTCTCGCTTTGGTTCAGCGCAGATCTGGAGGGCAAGAAAAATATCCGTGGG